ACTTAATTACCAAATCTTCAGTTTTGCTCATTTATTTGATGCAAAAATGAATACACCCAACAACAAAAACTACTATATCTAGCATTTTCTATGACCTCCATGATTTGTAAGGACAGCACCAAGTCTTCTAGGCATGGAATGAACAAGTTGGTCTTAGATGTGTGTTTAGGATCGTTGTCATGTTGGAAAAGTGCACGATGACCAAGGGCATGGAGTGATGGTACCATCTTATCTTTCAATATAGAGCAGCACATCTGTGAATTCATGATACCATCAATGAAATGCAGCTCCCTGACACCAGCAGCACTCATGCAACTCCAAAGAAGTATGCTGCTGCCATCTTGTTTCACTGTAGGCACCATGAATTTTTCTTTGTACTCCTATCCTTTGGGACTCCATACAGTTTTGAAGCCACCAGTTCCAAAAACATTTATCTTCGTCTCATCACTACAGAGTACTGAGTCCCAATAGTCATCTTCTTTCTGCAGCTTGGGCCCTGGCAAATTCTAGGCGGGCTTTTTTTGTGCATCGGCTTTAGGAGAGGCTTCCTTTATGAACGACACCAATGCATGCCATTCCTCTGCATTTTATGCCGTATTGTGTCACAGGAAACAGTCACCCCAGTTTGGCTTTCTACTACTTTACTAACTACAATGAACTTGCGTGGCGATTTTCTTCAACCCTTCTCACCAGAAGACGCTCCTGTCGAGGTGTTAATTTCTGTGGATGGCCTGGACGTCTGTGAGATGGTTGCAGTTCCACTTGTTGATTTTTTTTTTTTTGTATCACTTTTTGCTACAGTATTCTGATAAGTAAAGCTTTGCTGATCTTCTAGTAGCCTTCACCTTTCTTGTGTACAGAAATTATTTTCTTTCTCAGACCTTGTGACATTTCTTTTCCATGTGGTGTCATTGCTGACGTCATGAAATGGGAAAGGGTTTTCTTTGTTAACTAACGCCCTTTTATACAGTATTCGTAGCCCTTGACATTTTCCACATTTTGTCATATTACAACCAAAAACTTAAATGTATTTTATTGGGATTTTATGTGATCGACCAACACAGTGGCACAAAATTGTGAAGTGGAAGGAAAATGATAAATGGTTTTCAACATTTTTACAAATATCTGAAAAGTGTGGCGTGCATTTGTATTCATGCCCCTGGAGTCAATACTTTGTAGAACCAACTATCGCTGCAATTACAACTGCAAGTCTTTTTGACTGTCTCTACCAGCTTTGCACATCTATAGAGTGACATTTTTGCCATTCTTCTTTGCTAAATAGCTCAAGCTCCGTAAGATTAGACGGAGAGCATCAGTGAACAGCAATTTTCAAGTCTTGTCACAGATTTTCAATTGGATTGAGGTCTGGACTTTGACTGGGCCATTCTAACCTATGAATATGCTTTGATCTAAGCCATTCCATTGTAGCTCTGGCTGTATAGAGTTGTTGTCCTGCTGGAAGGTGAACCTCCACCCTAGTCTCAAGTCTTTTGCAGATTGCCCTGTATTTGGCTCCACCCATCTTCTCATCAACTCTGACCAGTTTCCCTGTCCCTGCTGAAGAAAAGCATCCTCACAACATGATGCTGCCACCACTATATTTCATGGTGGGGATGGTGTGTTCAGGGTGATGTGCAGTGTTAGTTTTCCGCCACACATAGCATTTTGCTTTAAGCCAAAGAGTTACATTTTGGTCTCATCTGACCAGAGCACCTTCTTCCACATGTTTGCTGTGTCCCCCACATGGCTTCTTCCAAACTGTAAAACGAGACTTCTTATGGCTTTTTTTCAACAATGGCTTTCTTGCCACTCTTCCATAAATGCCAGATTTGTGGAGTACACGACTAATAGTTGTCCTGTGGACAGATTCTCCCACCAGAGCTGTGGATCTCTGCAGCTCCTCCAGAGTTACCATGGGCCTCTTAGCTGCTTCTCTGATTAATGTGGACGGCCATGTCTTGGTAGGTTTGCAGTTGTGCCATACTCTTTCCATTTTCGGATAATGGATTGAACAGTGCTCCATGAGATGTTGAAAGCTTGAGATTTTTTTTTTAATTACCTTACCCTGCTTTAAACTTCTCCTCAACTTTATCGCTGACCTGTCTGGTGTGGCCTTCATGATGCTGTTTGTTCACTAATGTTCCCTAACAAACTTCTGAGAGTTTCACAGAACAGCTGTATTTATACCGATATTAAATTACAGGTAGACTCTATTTGCTAATTAGGTGACTTCTGAAGGCACTTGGTTCCACTAGATTTTAGTTAGGGGTATCAGAGTAAAGGGGGCTGAATACAAATGCACGCCACACGTTTCAGATATTTATTTGTAATACATTTTGAAGCCATTTATCATTTTCCTTCCACTTCACAATTATGTTCCACTTTTGTGCTGGCCTCTCACATAAAATAAGTTTACGTTTTTAGATGTGACAAAATGTGGAAAATGTCAAGGGGTATGAATATTTTTCAAGGCACTGTAATCAACTGTCTGGTGGACACCTGTTTAATGAATAATTAGACTCCCCTGTAGCTGAATTCTTGTTAGGGTTTTTTTTGTCTAAAATTTAGCTTTGCTCTTGAGATGTTCATTGGGGTGTATTCATTTTTGCAACATGATCTTGAATGAATTTGTTAGGAAAAATACTTTTTTGTGTGTGCAAATTAACAAATCTTGTTTGCAGTCAATGGCCCGCATTTGTGGGCATATTTGGTAGTATAGTGTCCCATAGAAAATGTTGATTCTGAAAGGAAAGTAAAGGTTTTCTGACAAATCTGTTGGGGTGTACTAATTTATGCTGACCACTGTATGTGTCACATGTTAATTGTGCCTAGAAGTAATCTTTAGCTGTTAACCTCCCTGACGGTATTCCCGAGTGTAGCTCGGGTAAAGTTTCCGTACCAAAAGCGGTAACCCTGAGCTACACTCGGGCTTACCATGCGGCGCTGCTGCGGCATCTGTTCTTCACTTACCTTGTCCTGCGCTCCTGCGATGTCCCTCCTGCAGTGTCCCCGGTAATGTCCTCCGGAGGATGCCGGCATCTGTCATCTGGGTTCCATCCCCTGCGAGCATCGGACGTACAGGGGACAGAACGCGGGAAATTTTAAAAAAGACAAAGTGACATTCACTAAATACACTAAAATCACATTGTAAAACATTACTGTATGAAACCATTTCACATACATTTTGTCCCTAGTGCTTTGTCCTGTGCCCTGCCTGCATTTCTACTGTTCTTTTTGCCTGGAAACTGAGAAACGTCCATGGTGTCCAAAAAGCGTCCCTTTAGGTCAAAATCTGTTTTAGACCAGCTAGAGAACAGCGATAGTAAATCAGAACCACTTGCAGAATTGAGTGATAATGATTCGTGGGGAAATTCGTCATCAGACACTGAAAACGATTTTGCGACTTTGCTCAGTGATGTGCGAACTTGGTGCTCTATTTCAAATTTCAGTGTTTTTGGTTTGAATATATTATTGAGTTCAATTTATTATTATATTATTTTTTATGATTAAATTATAATTAATGATTTTGTGTTTCAAATTTTATCCTACCCGGGATGTTTACTAGACTCTTGTTCGGACAGATTTCAGTGAGTTATTCCTAAAAATTACAGGTCTACAATAAAAAAAATACATATTTCCATTCAAAAAAAATGTACCACTTTGAGCACAGAAATATGGACATAATCAGACCTTTAGGGAGGTTAAACACACATACCCACTATAGACACAGTGGGGTTTATTTACTAAAGCTGGAGAGTGCAAAATCAGACTCCTTTCTGCATAGAAACCAATCGGCTTCCAGGTTTCATTGCCAAAGCTTCATTGAACAAGCTGAGGTTAGAAGCTGATTGGTTTCTATGCAGAAGGGAGTCTGATTTTGGACTCTCCAGCTTTAGTAAATAAACCCCAGTGGGTTTGATGTACTAAAACTACAATTCATTGTACGAATGTCATTGGTTCTTCACCCTATAAACTATTTGCGCTACAATATATTATCCACAGGTCTGAGCATTAGGCTAACTCTGATAAGTGCCTGTATATACTCTTTCCAGGGTTCTTCCTGCAAATGCCATTTTTTCTTTGTGTACTTCAGCCTAAAGGCCTCTTATAGAAGGTCCTCACCTCTTTGGAGAAGGACTATGATGTAACAAATCTTGCATACGGACACCTCTGCACTACTTTATAGTTGAAGTTGTGTTCCTTCTCATCTTCCTCCATAATCTCCTTTAGGCCTTTTTGTTCTACTTTACACAAAATAAGCACTCACACTTTTTTTTGAAATTGTTTTCTTGAATTGGTATGTAAAATGAAAATGCCTGCTAAACATAAAGACAAAGTGGAAGAAAATGTTCCTTCAGGCAAATGAACATTGTTATCCACCTATCACTAGTTTCCAGTATTTTCTAAATTATGTCATACCTGGGTGAAGCAAGTAAAATTATAACTTTTTCGGGCTTCTGCATACAATTATAGAAAAATGGCTGTAATAAAAATAGTCTACATAATTTTTGCTGTACTGCTATGCCATCCTGACTGTTCTGCCAGCACATTTTGGATTCTTTTGTCCTTCAGTGATTGCACTAGTGCAAAACATGCCTGATATTTGGCAAATCAAAGGCAATAAAATGTATGTTGTATAAGTCACAGTATAAATGTTGAGAAAGCTCTAATACTGAACTTGGGTATTGAATGCTGTAGAGTTCCTTGTATGGGTTATTTCTAAACCCATTTTGCCATACTTGTTAGTCTTCATTGATTTTGTTATAAACTTCCCCATTAGGCAAGACAATGCCATAGCTGACAGTGCAAATAATCTTTATTTTCAGTGACTTGAAGCAGTTCTAATACATCTGTCCTGAAAGTAGCTTTAATGATGCTTACTGATAGCTCTTGATGTGGTTGAACAAACACCATGCTTGAACCCTTTTCTATGTTGCCTTTTAATATGTATTTTTTGCTAATCTGTTTTAAACATGTTGTGAATTTATTACTGTTTTTAGATCAAGCTTCTGAGGTACAAATCACCATGATGCTGACTGAAAGCTGCAAACTGAGAGGACTACACCACAGGTAAGTTACTGTAATGAGTTTATGTATACAGAATTTACATAACAGCATAGCATTAGCTTCTATTGTCAAGAAGAGCTCTATTTCTATTACATAAATTGGAAGCTTAAATTTACATGGCTGGCTCTTGGAGGGATGTCCCTATAGTAATAAAAAATCCAATGAGGAGGGATATTACCTGGTCGACTGCAGTAGGATCCAGCTGACGGTAAATACTCAAAATGGCAGCAGAGGACACATCTAGGAGCACACAGATTGCCGAACTAAAATTTAAAAAGTGCCAGATACATGCACCTTCTGTTGTTGCTAAGGAACACCTTTGGTGCACAGCAGCAAACGTAAGCTGGCCATTGATGGATCAAAATTCAGGCAGTTCAACAGGAACATCTGTGGCTGTTTCTGTGTAGAGAAGTCAATCTAATGAGTGACTTCTCTCGAACCAGCTTGTTGGAAAATTTTCCATCGATCAGCACTGTAGCACTGATCATTGCATTCTGACAGTGGAAGAGTCCCCACTGTCAGAATTCGATGACATGTCCATGTAGGCAATGGGTGAATTCGTTCAGTTTTTTTTCCATCAGCCTTCTGGCTGGTGGAAAAAAAAAACCTGATCCATGTACTGTGTGGCCAGCCTAAACTTTTTATTTCTGTTGTTGGGCAGGTACCAAGTAGGTTACTCCTAATGGTTGTCATTGATCTACTTCGTGGCAGGTGTCAAATGATACAGATCACATTGTATGAATGCTTCCCTTTCGTTTGATTCACCCTGACCACCAAACTGTTAAGCTGGCCAGAGATGGTGGTTTTTGTTTTGTTTTAACCAGAAGTGATATGTGTGTGTGTGTGTGTGTGTTATATAATATTTATTTATATATATATATATATATATTTTTTGCATTTACGGGTCGAGGGCGCCCGCCCGCCCTACCCTCGCCACTGATCACAGCCCCGTGTGTCAATCACCCCCCACCCCTAGTGAAACACTTCCTACACACAGTTAACCCTTTGATTGCCCCCAAATGTTAATCCCTTCCTCCCCAGTGGCATTAGTACAGTGTCAGTGCTTCTTTTTGCACTGATCACTGTATTAGTGTCACTGGGGATGTCATTTCCCCCTAGTGTCAGAATGAGCCCTGCTACAAGTTGCTGCTCGCTGCCATAAGTCGCTGATCACCACCATTGTTAGTATAAAAGAAAAAATTCCTGTATCTATACCACATTTGTAAACGCTATAGCTTTCACGTAAACCAATTAATTCCCACGTATTGGGATTTTTCTTTTAGCAAAGACATGTCGCATAATACATTTTGGAATAAATTTATGACGAAATTTGATTTTAAATATTTTTACTGGACATGTTTTATATCAAATAGTCCAAACTATTGTGTTTTTTTGGGGTTTTTTTCTCAAAATTGTCGGTCTTTTTTTTTTTTTTATAGCGCAAAAAATAAAAAACCACACAGGTAATCAAATACCCCCAAGAGAAAGCTCTATTCATGGAAAAAAAGGATGTACATTTCATTTGGGTGTAGCGTTGCGTGACCGCGCAATTGTCAAAGTATTGCAGTGCCATAATGCAAACTGTTTTTTAACTGCTTCCTGACCGCCCTATAGCAAAAATACTGCTACAGGGTGGCACGGGTGCGCAAAATCGCGTGTATATATGCATGATTCGTGCTCCGCTGGTTTTCTCTCCCCTCCCAGATAGCGTCAGATTGCCCATCAGTACACAACGGTAATCACATTTAACCCCTCGATTGCCAGGAACAGTCATACACCATAAACTTCCATTGCTAGTGTAGTGTCTGAATGGATTAATATCTTTGATCAGATCAGCACTATACTAGCGTTCACATTAGTGTCTCCAAAAACAATGAATTGCGGTTGTATTGGTCCACAGACCCCATTCATTATATGCCTGTGTTCTCTGCTGCCATGGCCAGGCATTGATATGAGAGTATAATGTATGTTATGCATTTCAACGACAATACACTGTCGTCCTCAGGGTGAACCTGAATTTTACCGGCTCCACAAAATTCGACCCATCATAAATCACCTTAACCAAAAATTTGCAGATGTCTATACTTCCCCAGCAAAAAATCTCATTAATTTTTCTGGCCACTTTGCATTCAAACAATTTCTCCCCACCAAGTGTCCCAGTTATGGGGTCAAGATGTAGAATAGAAGACTTGTGTGAGGGCAACAGGCTATAAATAGATTTATGAGGGAAAAGATAGTCACGTGGAGCCCCCCGGATGCTCAGACTACATGGGGAGAAAGTGGCAAGATAGTTTGGGACTTTGTGTCATCCTATTTCCATATGGGGTACCACTTATACTTGGACAATTTTTATTCAAGCGTGCCACTATTTAGACATTTGTACAGTCCCACAGGCTGCATACAAATAAAAAAAAAAGAATATAGCATATATACCCAACAAGGACCAGCGACATACTGGTACATCACTGGACTTTGGTTATACCAGGATGATGCCTACAGCTGCAGGCATCATCCTGGTATCGTCTTTTCCAGCTGGCGATCAGCTTTCATGTAAAAGCAATTCCAGTGGCTAATTAGCTGCAGGATTGCTTTTACAAGCCAGCTGACCATAGAGCTGATTGGAGCCCAGAATGGTGCCATTCATCTCTATAGTCTAAGAAATCAGAAGCTACGAGCATTTCATCTCTTCTATATATATTCGATATAAATATTATATATATATTATAAAATATAATATATATATTTATCGATATATTATCGATATATTATATATATATATAAATAAATTTTAATATATATAAAATAGAAATATATATATATAATATATATATATTATAAATATTTATATATTTTTATATATAAAATATAATTATATATTTATAAATAATTAGATAATATATATAAATATAGATATATATATATATTATATAATATATAAATATAATATATATATATATAAATAATATAAAATATAGATAATTTATATAATAATTTATATATTTATATATAATATATAATAATATAATATAAATATGAATATAGATAGATAAAAAATATAAAATATAATATAAAATATATTATAAAAAATAAAAATATATATATATAAATATAGAAATATATATATATATAATAGATATATATATTAAATATAATTATATATATATTATATATATATATATATAAAATATATAATAAAATATATATCATAAAATAATAGAATAATATATATATATAATATATATATATAATTAAAAATATAAAATTAGAATATATATAATATATATATATAATATATATATATATAATTATAATTATATATATATAGATATATTATATATATATATATAATATTATATATATAAATAGATATTAAAATATATAAAATAATATAGATAAATTATATAGATATATAGATAATAGATAGATATATATATATATATATATTGATAATATAATATAATATAAAAATAAATATATATATATAATATATATATATAAATAAAAATATATTTTCAGATAATGCATCACTCACTTTGCCCAGAAAATTGTTGCAATTACAAATGTTTAGCTATGCTAGTGTTTATTTCTTTTTTTTGTTTTGGTGTGGCGCAAAAAAGTGGAGAAACAAAAAGCTAAATCTGACACATTCCATGCAAAATCCCAACAATGGACTGGACAAAATTACTGACATCTCAAAATTGTATGAAATAATTGCATTCCAAGTTTGTGATGCTCCTGTAATTTGTATTTAAACTCCCCTATATCAGTTAACAGGTGCTGACAATATAGCAATCAGTGGCAACCAGTTAAAAATGGTGAAACATTAACTCAACCTTTCTGTTGTGTGCCGCATGGATAAGCGAGAGAGCAGCAAAGAATTGTCTGAGGATCTGAGAACAAAAATTATGGAAAGCATGCACAATCCAGCCTATGTGCTGTACTATATGTTTAAAGCAGTATTAAACCCAAAAGCAATAATTTATTACCGTATATTGCATCTTACCAATTCTTAGATGTGAAGGATGAGAGAGTTTTCTTTTTTAGGCTTCTATTTTCACCTGGCGATCTTGGCAGTAAAGTCTGTTTTTCAACAAAACAAGCTGTCCTGCAGATGTAGCAGCCATTTACCACTGATCAGCTTTTATTCATTTATGTAAAACCTTTATCCCAAAAGGAATAAATCTGTTGCTGTAGTTTGAGTATGTTGGTGTATCAATTCTGCTTGTGTATCTTACAGTGCCCTCCCACCACTGAAAATGCTGCTGTCCAAATGTATCTTTATTACACCTTCATTCAGAGTGTAGGCACCCTAATACAGGAGGTGTGTTACCAAAACAAACAAAAAAAACATATTGCAGCTTACCAATCAGATGTGGTGACTGCATTAATTACATTTTTTGGGTTTAATTCTACTTCAAAGTGCTTTTAAAGGCTGGAGGGGTTTTTTTTACCTTCATGCATTTAGGTGTCTTTTTATGAAATCAGTGGTGATCCTGAGGATCTTTGCTGACTTCCGATCATTAGTGGTTTAGGAAACAGAGATGATCAGCGGAGAACACACAGATGGCCAGTGTATAAAAGGAGTGATGTCAGCCCTTCACTGTCGATCTGTTTTCTCCCCTCCGGATTCTCCAGCCCAGAGCTGGAGAATCGGAGGAACCGCAAACGAAGAAGCGATAATTTACCGCTGCTTAGTAAACTGTGTTTGACTGATTTTACTGTAATCTCGCAAGATTATAGTAACAGCAGCTGTTTTCTAGCATTCAAAGCGTTTGTAGATCGCTTCTCTCTCATTCATTCGGAGAAGCGATCTACTCCGGTTCATAAAAAAGGCATTCAGAGGAGAACTCGCTCCTCTGAGAATGCCGGAGAACTGAGCAGCAGTCATTTACCGCTGCATGTTAAAAAGGACACCTTAGTGTGCAGCTCCCCCTTCAGCCCTCCTAATAATTACCTGAGCCTGATCTCGATCCAACAATGTGCACAAGAGCAGTGGCTCTCCC